GCCGCGCGTGATTGGCGCAGATTACCATAATGCACGCGCCCGCAGGACCGCCCCAGGACAAGCCCTAGTTTATGCCTGACCACAAACCACATGCCACGCTGCACCAGTTAGCCGTAACCGAAATGTTTTTGTTGTTCAAAAATAACTCACTGCTGAAAAGCAATTTTTGATGTAGGCAAGCTTTTTGTATTGAGCTCAATTCTTTTTAAGTCAGTCTGTTTTTCTGTTTGTAATTCATTTTTTGTTGCTTTTATAAAAAAATGGTTATTGAAAATTCATAGCGTGAAGGTTCAGAATTCACAACATCAGTTTAAAAATAATCCGCCGAGTAAATATTTCAAAGAGTTCTTTGTTTTTTTATAAAATATTTTTTTATCTAAAATACAACGAAACGTCTAGAAACTAAATAGATTTTCTAAACAAATGGTCCCAGAAACAATCCATTGCTCAAACTGTTCATACAATTATCGGAGATTCCGAGTAGTCGGAGCCGAGCCGAACCCTCTACCAATTAACTCTACCTAAACCTCTTCAGATTCCTAACGTTGGTTGTCTCTTAGTTAATTACATATTAATATTGCACATACGTAACCGATCGCAATTTGCATGATTTCAAGTCGATAAGATACAAAAAAAAATATTTTCTTCTTTAGCTCTTTTATTAGTAATTCTTTAGCTCTAATTTAAGCAAAAGCTTGTGTAAATAATAAAGTTCACTGTAAAAAAAAATCACAAACAAATCCTGTCAAGAATCCCATCCCAACTAATATTATAAATGCGAAAGTAACTCTGTCTGTCTGTCTGTCTGTCTGTCTGTCTGTTACGCTTTCCCGCTTAAACCTCGCAACCGATTTTGATGAAATTTGGCATAGAGATAGTTTGAGTCCCGGGAAAGAACATAGGATAGTTTTTATCCCGGTTTTTGAAACAGGGACGCGCGCGATAAAGTTTTTCTGTGACAGACAAAATTCCACGCGGGCGAAGCCGCGGGCGGAAAGCTAGTTTTCAATAAAATCCGCCCAAATGACCGGACTTGCGACCTTCATTTTTTTTTATACACAACGAGGAAGCTCTTGGCCTGTACCTCACCTGATGGTAAGTGATGATCATTGAGTGATAGCAACGAATGTTCGGCCATGGACACCGTTAACAGTCGGTTAAGTAGTAAAATTCTATTGGGTTCAGCCATATCGAAGCGAACTCGCCGAAAGGTTATTGCGTAGAGCGGCACAGAAACGGCTGTAGAAGTAGATAACGACTTCGAATAGCCGTTTGTATGTACGAGTATGTAGGTCGGTCCAAGCTGATAGTCCTACTTTACATAGATTGCCCCTAAGGTGGCCAATCGAATAATCTTGTCCAAAAATACTAGCAGGAAAAACCGTACCGTAGCCATCATTCAGTGCGGATCAGAAAATAAGGGTAAATAAACATCTGACGTGATTTGATTCGGGTTCAAAAATAACGATCCCTCATGTATTTTAATGATGAGGAATGAATCAATAAAAGCTCACGGATTTGTGATATTGACGTGGCCTAAAAGCTTATCCCTATAAAATCATAATTTTGGAATATTTACTGCTGCTGTTAGACTTCATGTTTTATTACAGGCATATGAAAACCATCTTAATTGACAACAAAAAGAATATCGAATAATTTAAGTGTTAACTTATAAATCGGTTACAATAAATTCAAATACGAGTTAATTGTTAGTAAATTTAGTTAGGTCTCGCTGTCAGCACAAAGCTCCTTTGAAACTAGACACTACCCTTCCGGGAACTCGCGGCGCTAATACACACACCCATTCTAGAACCTTGGCTTGACACAAATACATAATTTAATAGGACAGATGTTAATAACGTCACATAACAGAGTGATTACGGTGAATTTAACTTCAGTCTGAATGTATTCAATATTCGGTACTATAAAATTAATGGCAACGGTATTGAATATCGAGTTATTGTTAATTAAGAATGTTATGAATGTAAATGTTTTATATACATTTATGAGCTTTTTAAATTAAAGTACTCTTACAGCTATTACTTTGTACTTGCCAAATTTATTACATTTTAAAAACATTATTTTATTAAATCCTATTGGAAATTACACTTCCGTTGTTCCGGGTAAATGCTTGTGTTCGTCATAGGTACTTCCACTCTGTAGAGAAATGTTATTTTAGTTTTTAAAATCAATAAAAATATTATGTCCAGTCGACAGCACTCATAGGACACCATACCTACACTTCCTTATTAAAAGTACAATAATGTATGCCACAGTCAGTTTAGAAACTGTGCTGTTATCCGAGTATCTCTCTCCCTCGTATCTCGTATCTCTCAGTACCTATATTTATCTCAATAAAATGAGGACGAAAGCTTAAAATAGTATCGCAACTAATATTGATATTTGCGAAGCCCTACTTGCCAAGGATCCGTGGATCTTGCTCTCTATTGGTGCCCCGCCGGCACGTGCCGTGTCCTGGCAACCGCGCGAGTACCTAGGACTTAGGGCGTACGAAAGCTAAGTGATTACGAAATAAAAAATATGTACTCACTGTTAATGTGATTTTTTCATATCCCTTTGTAGTTATTAAATTTTCTTAGGCTGAGTTGCACCATCTTACTATGGATTTTGACAGACTTTTGACGTTTGTTAGAGTCAAAGTAAGATGGTGCAACCCAACCTTAGCCTTTAGAGTCGCATCTCAAACTACATTATAAATAACTTGAAAAAGAAATTACTCCCACCTTCGGCAGTTCGATTTTTTCAAGTTAATTATAATATCCCTTTGGTAGTACTTCTTCTTCTTCTTTTTGTTTCGACAACAAACCTACACAGTGCACAGTGTTTTATTTTGGCTTAGAAGCGGACATCCCTGTTTTATTAATTCAATCGTTAGATATTACTATTATGTATAAAATTGATGAAGGAACTAGTAGTTGTATTTGTTTAGTTTCGAAGAAATATTCGATTTTGGGATTTAATAAAAAAAAAACAGTTTTAGAAGCATATTTTCTAAAAAAATTACATTAAGTCAGAATTTTGTAAATAAATTTACCTATCACTATAACGTCTACCTTTATGCAAAAATAAATGGTTATTGCTGCAGTAATTTAGGAATTATTCAATATAATTTATGATTTTCAGAAAACATTTTTTTCTACGTTGTCCTAGAAACTTGGCAGCTATATTTACTTTATATTGATGCATGATATAATTAACACATGATACGTATATGACCTCAATTACAGGTATTTAGTAGTACTAATGTGGTAATAGTACCTTTATAATGTAAATACTACCCGCTGCTGTGTGCGGTAACTACTTACCCGATTTACAATCATAATAACGAAAAGATATTCTAAAAATGCCCAAAGCCTTCGGCTCTCTTTACCGAGAAAAGGCGGATGATATTGAATTCAGGTTAATTGAGTAATTAACTTTTTGCCGGCCTGTCTCTTATACTAATACCTGGCAAAATTACCTCAGAGTTTTAACTTAGATTCACTTTTAAACCCCAATTCGTATATTTCGAACAATTTATATTTACATAGATTCCATCATCAAATAACATCATACCAAAATTACATGCAGTAATGTAAGTATGTCACGCGATTACGTTACCGATATGTCAGAATATGAAATAGAAAAAAAATCCAATCAATAGCGCTTTCGCTGAAGTGTACTCGTACGCTGCACTTAACTCCTTCGCATTCATGCTTGAATTAAATCCAGGCGGTTATTAATTCAAACCTTTTGTTTGACCGCCCATTGAGCTGTCGAATGCCCCTCGAGCGAACAGCCACATCCTTTTTATTGTGTCGAGGGTGTTGCGCCCTGACAGTTCCGGGCTCCGGAAACGCCTTTTGTTAATCTTGTAATTCGTAGCTTGGTAAGCGGGATTTGAGCACGCTAGCCCTTTCCTATAAAAGTCATGACAGGATTTATTTACAAAACTGTCGGATCAGTAGTTTTTGAACTAACTAAACGCTAAGCTGCAGGCTAAGATTACGATAGTGATGAATATTAGAAGCTGCTCGAAAAAACATTTCATTTTTCAACGAAAAATCGCTAGCAGAGTTATGATACCCCAAAGATATGGAATTCTGGCACGTGTTTACGAAAAGTTTACATGCGACAAGCCAAAGACTGTTTAAATTGGCGTGTACGAGAGGTCGTGTACAGCTATGGACTGCTATTTGATGATGGTAATTTCTGGGGCAAAAAAGTCCTCAAGTGGCGGCCAAGGGCCGGAAGACGTAATGTAGGCAGGCTTTCCACTAAGTAGACCACAGAACATGGAAAATGTTCTGTGAGGTGTCTACACCTCACAGAAATTTTTTTTTTTTCCATGTTCACAGCACCTCACAGGCATCATTTGGTGACGATCTGGTGAAGGTCTACGGAAATGCCTGGATGCGGGCGGCGCAGAATCGGTCATTGTGGAAATCCTTGAGGCCTTTGTCCAGCAGTGGACGTCAAAGTCAAAGTAGAAATTACATGCGACAAGCCAAAGACCGTGTAAATTAGAGGAGGCTATGTCCAGCTATGGACTAATAATAATGATTCTTCTTATTCGTTTCGCTCTTGGCAGAGCGGTCGCGGTCACGTTAAGGCGTTGTTCACATCGGTTGTAGAGGTGGATAAAACTCTCCGCACGATCTCCCGCCATCTCTGTCTGTTGACAGACTGTCTGGTGCAGTAACATTAGCCGTCCCCCACTGCCGATTTCACTTAAATGATATATTGTTTTAAACTTTCATGGTAATTAAAATTATTATTATTACTGACGGGATTGCTACCATGTACCTTAATTTTGAGTTTCCGATATTTCGGCACTGTTGCGCTATGCAATTATTGCTAAGCGACCATGGCGCTTGCAACAGTGCCGAAATATCGGTTATTATGTTACATTATGGTGATGCAAATAAATATCTACCTATCTACTAAAAAAAATACATGGTAGCAGTCCCGTCAGTAATAATAATTATTTCACTTGAATGATGATGATGGTGTTTGTCAGGTGGTACCGCGAGACCGGCGGCGGCGTGCTACGCGAGGTGCGCGACGGCGAGGGCGGCGGGCGCTACAGCCGCGCGGCGGACGCTCTGGGCGTGCGGCGCGCTGAGGCGGCGGACGGCGGCCGCTGGGCGTGCCGCGCCGCCAACGCGCACGGGCACGTCACGCTGCGCCTGCACCTCGCCGTGCGCGCGCATCTCACGGCGCACGCGCAGCCGCACACGCAGGTAACAATAGGCTAGTTTCCTAAACAAAGGACATCATCCATTTTGGTCCAAAATCAAAAGTGCCGGCCAAAAAATAAAAGTGCTGTATTCTGATAGAATACGTCTGCCTTAGCATTTATTACTATGGCACCAAAGCCGTAGCACCACTGTGCATCGTAGTATTTGAGTTCTAAAAATATATGAAACGACTGACTTTGATAATTAATACTACGACGCACAGTGGTGCTACAGCTTTGGTGCCATAGTAACAAATGCTAAGGCGGACGTATTCTGTCAGAATACAACACTTTTTTTTATTGGCCGACACTTTTGATTTTGAACAAAAAATGTATGAATATCGATGACTTTTAGATCTCAAATACTCGACGCACAGTGGAGCCACGGCTTTGGTGCCATAGTAACAAATGCTAAGGCAGACATATTCTGTCAGAATACAGCACTTTTTTTTGTTGGCCGGCACTTTTGATTTTGGACCAAAAATATATGAAACGTGGATGATGTCCTTTTTTTAGTCCGTCAATTTTACTATAAATAATATTGGACACGTATATTTTTAATTGTCAATCAAACAAATAATTACAAAGTTATAGCTGCTCTGAAGTTCCGCGCGACGTCAAAAAGTGCTGCACTTTTACGCACTCACTGACGTCACGAGCCTTTTCTTTAGAACTTTGGCACGCTTTATCTCTTTACATTTTCATTAGTTTTAAAAAGTGAAAAAATACGTGTCGAGTAGTTTTTAATAAACTAACTGACGGAATAATAATTAAAACTCTTGCTTTTTTACCCAGGAAACATCCCTATTATGACCTAATTGGTAACACCTTTGTAAGAGGAGTCATTTATTAGCCATGTGATTCCAGCAGAGTAGAATAAGACAGCCTCCACTCTTCCCGTGGATGTTGTAATAGGCGACTACATTAAGGGAGAAATATGCAAACGTCAGGCCTTCCAAAATAGTAGAAATTGTAGGCCAAATCCTACATTTGCCTCTGGTAAATAAGAGAGGTTCGACCTGCAGTGGCTATTAAATTACCTAATGACGATGAGATTATTATACGTACCTAAGTATTATAAGTACCTAAGTACTTTATGCCTGTAATGTTCAATCAAATTTTCATATTTTCAGACAATCAGAAAATTGTAGTTTAGAATGTTCTTAGTGTACTCAAAACAATAAACAATCTAGACAAAATAATTTTACACTGTTTGATCATTAATCGTTATGCTCGAACATTATTACTTCTTCATAAAGGGCCTCATTAAAATTTGGCCGATGAGCAGCTGAACATACCCTTGTTCAAGATGAAAGTGAGAATAAATCAGAATTGTTTACCGAAATACTCAGACCTAAGTTTATTTGCTCCATATTTATTTAATGATCAAACAAAATTATCTGCAAATAAAACCTCGTCTAAATGCGATCCAATGTAAAATAAAATACCCATGTATACTTAATATTTAGGTATATGTTTACCACAGTCACACGTGCTTTTGATGCGTCCAGCAAACTTACGGCATTCAGCAGCTCAAATACAGCTGTTTTGAGCTCACGCGAGCCTTTTCAACATGGCGCCGTCACTTAACGCTCTTTTCCGCGACATTTCATAGCTTTATGCAGACCCGTAACGTGTCTACACAATGTAACATGCAAGAAAGGGAAATACAGGTACCATACGTCCGTATAGTCGTCGTCCCATGGATTAGGGATAGATAACGATTGATAATTTAATTAACTCATAGGTAAATAAGCAATTTTGTAGAGTACAGTACAGATTACATATTACTTAGGAAACTTTTACTTTTACGAGTATAAGTACCTAGTAGTTTAGCTGTGCACTCCGTCACATACAAAGAGATTAAATAGTTACTAACTCACATAGTACAAATATAATGGACTGTATAATAACGCAATGAGCTCTGTAATGACGTCATCATGCATTTCAGAAACTGCCCACATGATTAGATTTAGATTACCATTTATACTGATGTAGCATAATAGTATAATATTATACTATTCTATACTATCCGGGAATACGTAGTGTGTTGGCAAACATTAATTGAGTAACTTAGCTGTACATATAACATGAATGAATAACATATTTTTTTTATCACTATTTGATTTTTCAAACTCTGAGCTAAATAATTATTTATGCAAATATGAGTATAATCCATTGAACAATATAATTTAAAAAAATTCAGAGCAAAGGATAAAAAACAGGCAGATTAATCCGTAATAATTGAAAAAGTTGATAATATAAATAAATAAATAAATAAATAAATAAATTTCTTTATTGAATAACTTATTGACAGTTTTTAACAATAGGCTAATATTAAACTATAATAGGTAAAAGTACATACGTGCCTGAACTAAGAATTATAATTCCTGTATCTCAGGCAAAAAAAGGCTTACATTACTTTATTAATAGAACTATTTCTAGCAAAATATGTATATAATCTAATATTTATACATAATAATATATAATTAAAAATTAAAATCTACACAAGTTACATTTAAGATTTAAAATCAATACAATGTGCTACATAATATTGCTTGTTCTACAAACTTTATTAAAAACATCCAACATACAGTGTCTGCGTAAACAAAAATAATAAACTGGGTCACGCTCAATGTTGCAAAAATCATACAAGTTATTTATGTTTACTCTAGATATACTTAAATGCAATTCGGTTTGTTAAGGTAGATTTGATAAAAGGTTAGTGGGACAGCTCTATGATTAATTATGGAGTTATCTACTAGTAGGTACTAATGGTAAAAGTTAATTTATACAATCTAGGTAGTAAATTAGCTAATGATAAAACTGACACATCAAGACAAACATAAACTCGCAGGACACTTTATTTGAATAAATCGCCAAATATACCACCGCGGAGACCCCAATCGCGTCTCTGCGTGCCATTGAATCGTATGAGCGTATGGATTTTTTGCGTTATTTTTCACAATTTCCATTTTTAAAAATTACCTATCGATAGCTTACTTTATTCTGATGAATAAATGTCATTACAAGTTTTTCTCTAAAACTGATAATTTGGCTAGAAAAAAATATTTTCTATCCACGCAGTACGCCGGCAGCGTTCGGATCGGATATAATGACGTCATCGTCCCCGCGCCGGGCGGTCAGTGAACTTTTTTAGTAATTTGGCCATAACTTCGTCAATTTTTGTCGTAGAACAAAAATTTTTGCACTGTGTATTAAGGGTTTCTTAGCCCTATAAATCTGCATTCACAGCTAAAAATCGAAATGATCCTCATTACTGGCCAATTAATATTGAATGAGGAAACTTTAACGTGCATCTGACTGGGCTCGACCTTTGATGTGGTTGGAAGTCCTCGACAGTAGGATTACACCGGATAATATTATGAACACTGCTCGATTTTCAATTAATGTGTATTCCTGGGTTTATACTAGAGATGAAACGGATATCCGGTAACTATCCGGTAGGCCGGATATCCGGCCTAAATTTACTATCCGGCCGGATACCGGATATTAAAAAACTACGACAATTTCCTATTAATAAAATGAAATACATAAATCTTTGAGGTAAATATCAATAAAATGGCTTTAATAATGACGGTTTTTATTTAAAGTCCAAAAAGTTACAAAAAAGCCATATTAAGGCCTTTCAAAAAACTATTTTTTTTCTGGACTATTTTCACTCTAATGACGAATACATAAATAGTAAATACCTGTTAATGTCAAAATATTGCCAAATACCTAGGCGATCTTTTTTTACCCGACTACGGCAAAGCAAAAGGAGGGTTATGATTTTGACAGGCTATGTATGTATGTATGTATGTTCATGTGTTCCCTCGTAACTTCTAAACTACTTATCAGAATTCGACAAATGACATATCATTAGAAGCGTCTTAATTGTCCGCTGGTTACCTATAGGCTTTATGGGGTTTCACAAAATAGGCGTAGTCACACGTTACATATACCTACCTACCGTAGCACTTTGACAACGTGTGACTGCGGTTTTCCAAACATGAAAATTACTATGCAACTACATTAGCAACTTTGTTCAGTTCAGTATTCTGAAAATCTTATTTTATACTTTTTCAGCGTCGTTTTTTGTCGTACTTGGGTTTTAGTTTTTTTACTTTTTATTTCACTGATGGTCTGACGACATGATGCAGTTTAGTCAGATTATGCAGCAACTAATTTAATTTTCGCTATTCAATCACAAACTCACGATGGCAACCGAAATCGCCCGAATTGATCTGCCCCCTAGACAAGTGGCAAAATCTGATATTCTGTTCGTACGAATTAGATTTTCGAAAAGTGTGACTAGTCTAGTCTATCGCGTTCGAAGCACCTCTGTGCGGCGATAAGCTCGTCACGACATGCAATGAGACAATGGGCCAACTATCCGGCCGCTGGATATCCGGCTATCCGGCCTAGCAGCTGGCCGGATATCCGGTATCCGGTATCCGGCCAAACAACTATCCGTTTCATCTCTAGTTTATACCTAACGCCCGTATTCAGAAACGATCTGATCCGTCTGCTCGTTTGCCTCCTATCACATAAAAAAGATGCTTGCTTAAGTGAACGCACAGCGTTGAATAGAGCTCTGTAATTGGTTCATGTGACACCCTGTGCGTCCACGCGCACTGTGAGACCTTATAGTAATTATGAATACGGGCGTATTTACCTTCTGTCAGTTTTCGATCCGGTAAGTAATTTGACAAAAATACACGTCCTCTTCAAATCAGGGACGTGGGAGCATGACTCTCAGATCCGTCAAAATTGGGAATAATATAAGACACTACGGCTTAGTAAATCTGAAATTATTTTATTTATTTAGATTAAAATCAGCTTTTTAAAATTTTTATTCGACAATGATATTAATTTTGCTGGAATCGCTAAATAAGATGTCAATCTTAATATAATATTTACGAGTGTTAGGATAATAATGATTATCAGGTGACCTAAATTAAGTGTAAATAAGTTATACTTACCACCTAATTATGCATAGTT